GCCCAGGGTCTGGGACGCTCATACGCCTCACGCCCGGGGGCAGGGCCACCCATGTGCTGCGCACCCAGGGCTGGTGCCGGCCCTGTGCCGTGCACCTGGGGCTAGTGCTACGCCTGTGCCATGTGCCCAGGGGCCAGCACCGCCCATACGCCGTGCGCCCAGGACCAGCACAGCCCTTGCGTCATGCCCCCGGGGACAGGGCTACCCATATGCTGCGCACACCCAGGGGCTGGCACCGCCCATACACCACGTGCCCGGCCCCAATCACTCAGTGGGTGCACAGAAATGGCCCGGTGGGCACCATGGCGCCCGCAGGCACCGCACTGGGGACCACTGTGCTAGTGCCTTCAACTCCCACTGAAGTTAAATCATTTTAAAAGGCTCACTACTTCTCACAAAAGGGGGTTTATTTATACATGCAGTTATTCAGAACTAGTCCTGAATGTCCACACATGTAGTTAATCTCAATCCAAAATAAGACAGCCCTGTTCCTATTTAATGTAGCTAATCCTGAATAACTCCAAGTGAAGACAAACATTTACATTTGAGACCTGAAAGAAAGAAGAGCTCAACCAGGTACTAAAATTCAATGTAAAGTCTCCTCTTTCAGGTCTTACCAAAGACAACATAACATAATATAAACCAGGACTTGTCTTGCCAACACTCACAAAATGCAGCAGCTAGATTTTTTACAAGTTTATAAAGCAAAAAAATATCTACTAAATTTAAAAGAAAATCATCATGGCCTTAAGTCAAGTTACTGTGGGAGAGGGGAAATGGTATGAGTTTGAAGTGGAAGCAGAGTTTTCAGACTTAATTCTATTTTCTTTTATTCATTTTTTTTTACTTCCTTTTTTTTTGTAAACAACTAGCGTCACTTGCACTTATTTGTATTCATTTTATTCAAATTTTTATGGCCTAGTTACAAACCAAGGAAACCAATAATTTGTTATGAAAACAGCAATAAAATTTTTAATTCTATCAATGAAAATGATGCTGCTGTAACACACATTCTTTGAAACAGGCTATTTATAACTTTCTATTTCAAGGAAATTAAACTCATACAAAACATACAGAAAAAACCCAACAAATGGTCTGGTAGCACTTTATAGACTAACGAAACATGTAGATGGTATCATGAGCTTTCATGGGCACAGCCCACTTCTTTAGGTGACCGAAGTTATGAGTTGGGGATATAAGAACTCGAAATAAATAGGAGAGGAGAAGGTGAGGTGCCCACGAAAGCTCATGATACCATCTACATGTTTCATTAGTCCATAAAGTGCTACTAGACCATTTGTTGTTTTTTTCTGTTACAGACTAATTTGGTTACCCCCTGAAGCTACAAAACATACAGTACAGAAACTAGCCCTCTGTCCTACACATCACCTTCTGACAGCTTTTTTGTATGGAAAAAGGGAGACCTGAGTTAAATTCCTGGTTACACTCATTAGATCGCAAAGGCTAAGAATTCTGTGACACAGCAAACAGCTTTGGAGAAAGGGGAATGTATGGTATTATCCACAGCAATCTACCCATCTTAAAGAAAGTCCCATTCAAAGATAGTTCCATTCTATCTCTGCAGCTGGAAGGATTATAATATCTAAATGGGCCCTTTTGGGAGATGGAGGAAAACAGGAACACATGATTGCTGCATCTCAGGTTCCATCCTCTAGATTTTGCAAACTGAACACAGCTGTCATCTTCTCTGGTTCCCATCAAACACTTCATTTATTAGGTTGGAAAACATCACAACTATTGATTTGTATGGAAGAGTGATGTTACAAGGAATGATAGGTCAGAACAAATTAATGGACAATTTCATTCAGCAAAGATCATTTTACGCTTTCTCTTCGAGAAAGGCCACCCTGGCTGATAAGTGGGCTGGAAATATGGTACAGCTTTAGCCTTTGTTGCAGTTTGCAATTACGTTATCACTCACAAGATTTAAATGTCAGGTTTTTTAAATGTAGTACAAGTTGGAACTCCCTGGTCCAGCACCTTTGGAACCTGACCAGTGCCAAATGAGGGAATTTTCCTGATCAGGGAATGTCCCTTGCCCCCTGACCTCCTAGCACGCTGCCCCTCTCTGCAGCTGGCTCCACTCCGGCCCCACTGCCACTGGGCTCCAGAGCCACAGGACTTGGGCTCTGCTCCCACTTGGCTCAAGCTCCCCAGGGACGGGGCTCGCTGGGCTACCATCATCCCTGCTTGTGAACTGCCCGGCTGGGGCTTACCAGGGACGGGGCTCCCTGTTCCCCGCTGCTGCCTTGCTTGGTTAGGGGTTCCTGGCTGCTGGACTCCCGGTGGGCTCGCACTCCCATCACCAGGACGCTGATCCAGCAATATCTGTGGTCCTTTTGGACCACAGATTTTGCTGGACCAGCGAGTCTCGGATTTAGGATGTTCAGCCTGTAGCGAGCAGATGTACATGACACTGTGGAGCTGCACTAGGGTAAACACTGGGGTGCATTTCAGGTATAGGTAAGAGTTCAATGGTATGATACACGTTGAGAGTCAGCAGAACATACCCTTCTAAGCAGGATTCTAGCACCTGAGACTAAGACAGGTTCAGGAGTAGGGATGTAAGCAGCTAGTCGAATAGTCACATATACTTATCGGGTAGTCGAGTGACTACTTGACTAGTCACTTCCCCCCGCCTTGGCTGCAAGAGGCAGTGGTGTGAGGTGAGCAGGAGTCAGTGCGGGGGAAGCCAGCTTAAAAGCCGGTTCCCCCCAGTACCATCTCTGAGGGGGGCACGAGAGGCAGAGGCACAGTGGGGGACCAGGCATGAGTCAGGAATCAGCTGTCCCAGCTCGCGCCCAGGCGCCTCTGCCTTTAAATGCTTTTAATGGTCCCCTGCTGCATCTCTGCCTTTTAAATGTAGTAAGAGCCAGGCAGCTGTTACTACATTTAAAAGGCAGAGGCAGGGGGGGTTAGCTCCCGACCCGGGAGCTAACCCGACTGCAGCTCTGCAGTTTCCCCCTTTATTGACTAATCTACTACTTGATTAGCTGATTAAACAAACTTAACAGCCCTATTCAGGAGAAGAGTCCTGAATCTCTATGCAGCATCCTAAATCTTATCACCCTGTTACAGAGAGAGATGCAACTTCCACAGCAGTGTCTCTTTCCCAGTATCAACTGATGGGGCCTCTCCCAGAGCTCCACGTGAAAGAGGTTCTGTCAGGTTTCAGGATGCGGCTGGGGTCGGATGCTTATACTGTCTCCTGCTGATCATCTGGCCTTCCACACAGAGGCCTAGGTGAGAATTATTTAGGTTTGGAGTTTCATAATTGTTTCTGGATCCCCAACATAGGCTGTTGCTTAGCAGCCCCAGGGAAACCTAGCCATAAGCTGCAAGGCTCACATAGGCAATCTGCAGCAAACGTGAGTCAGAGCAGAAAGGACAAACAGTGATTAGTGCGGAGAGCTCCATATTTCTGAGTTCATCCTTTTCCTAAGGAACAGGGAGGGCTTTGTTCCCTACCATCTCTTAAAGAGTCCCAAATTCTGCACAGTTTTCAATTATTTCATTGTTACTTTGGAATTCCCGTCTGTTCTATGTCCACTTGTTGTCTTGTATTTAGACAAGTTCCTCTGGACATTTTTTTGTTATGCGTTTGTACAAAACCTTGCACAAAGAGGCCCTAATCAGGGTTCTTAGGCACCAGTGCAATACGTGAATGTGCCATTGACCCGTTTTGCTCCCTTTTCCAGAGGCACTAACAATCCGAGCCATATTCTGTATGAGACATGATAAGCTGTTCTGAGCAATACTCTAACTTTTAAGAAAAAACTGTTTAACAAAGGGAATTTTCAACTTCTATTAAATTTACATTAAGTTTCAGGAGGAAAATTTTCATGGAACTTCATTTTCAAAATATTAAGAAGTGGAACAAATCCTGACAGATATGCAGAACCCTCCAAGTAGACTGTGATATTCTTGATCCTAGAAACACTACAAGATAAAGTTCCAGGGATAAAGAATCTTGTAAATTTAATTTTGCTGGCATCAGTACAAGTAAAGCGGAGTCAGACAGGGCAGACAGCTAAAGAGAAACAAAATGGGGGAGGGGAGGGGAGAGGAGAAGAGGGAGAATCTTGAGGATAGACCAGAAACACCGAACTCAAGAGCAGAAAAGGTAATAGAAACAGATAAGAAAAGGAATATTGAAAACCATGGAAGAGATTATAAAGCCATAGTGAGAGAAATCAAGTTTAAAAACACGCATACAGTATCCAATGTACACATGTACTATATGATATAGCAAACAGTATCCAAAATTAACAAAGATACTTAAGAGAGAGAGAGAGAGTGTAAAACTTTAAATGCCCTAAGAAGCCTATAGTATATATAAAGGTACATGAAACAAGTACTTCTGGATTTCCCTATGCAAAAAGGTGGGGACTTTTTTTTTTACACCAACAGTAAACACCCTGAAAATTAAAACTAAGAAAAAAAATCAAAATGATCAGTGACCCAGAAAGTCAAAATATGAATTACTGTGAGCTTGGTCTACTGTGGAAGAACTTTTATTCAAGTGCAAAATCTTAAATGGCATTGATACAGAAGTAATGAAGTTAAACACTGTTCCCAAAGAATCTTCTTAGAATAGAGGTCTCAGAAATATTTTATTATCCCATGGTTTCATTTAGCATTACTTTCCATTAAGATATGGTGGAAAATTGTCATATATTATATGACTCTATGACAGTTTTCATTTCTCACTGAGCTAGGCATAACTTCCTTTCCTAATTTTTTAAATAGGGAAACTCTAATATTAGCAGAGGTTTAATGATTTACAGGAACTGCTCTAACTTAAATAATTCAACAGCACAATGTATTTAACTGGTTAGTGACCAACATTCCTGAAAAGCTACAAAACATACAAGTTACCAAGGGCATACTGTGTATCTTTCAGTAAATTATTAACTGCTGTGCTGAATAATAAAGCAAAATAAATTAATTATTTGCTAAAAAATCTTTGTATAGCATACCGTTGCTATTCTTGTCTCGATACAATTCTCCTCTTCTACCATGTACTCATGGCCTGCTTTAAAGAGTTCCAGCATTTTGGGGATATCACGGCCCAGAGAATCTAATTTGAAAAACAAGATGTCATGAAGTATTAGTGACCCATCTATGCATCTAGTACAACCAAACTGAGAGAGTGAAACATGTTCCCTCTGAAGGGATGTGATGTGTTTGAGCAATAAAGTAATCAAGAATCCATCCTCCTCCTCGACATCTAGTACAGTATCCTGTGATCCTTGCTGCAAGATGCTGAGGGCAGGGTCAAGGCCCCCCAGTGGACCCATAGTCTATGCATTTATGTCAAACCTAGGTTAGATGGAGTTGTTTTAGGAGCCTATGTACTTTTAATCACTAATTATTGCATAGCAATAGCTCGATTAATGGTGTAATTTATCAGCAAGAACTATAAAGTGGAGCTGCCAATTAAGCACAGCTAACGCCTGCAATTTACTCAAAAAATTATTCATGATTAATTACAATGTTAATCACACTTAAATAGAACAGCAACTGAAAAGTATTAAATACATTTGAACCTCCATACTCTGGGTATCCCTAATCTGGGAACACCCATGGTACGGAGAAGGAAGTGGCTGTGTGCGCTGCCAGTCCCCCTTTTCAGCTAGGGGGCAGCAGCACAGCAACATGTTTCCCCTGTGTCTTTTCCCTGCACTCTCACAGCAGCAGGGGGTGGTGCATGGGAGTAGTGGGCAGATGTGCACCCCCCAGTAGCAGGATGCTAGGTAAGTGCCCCAACCCCCTCATGCCTAGACTACACTGAACCCTCTCTAGCCCAGCAAAAACTTTAATCCAGCATACCCCATTTCCCAGGGTTCCCGGATTAAAGAGATGCAATTGCGTTTTTGGATATTTTTCTACATTTCAGATGTATTGACTTCCATTACAACACATAATACAGAGAGTACAGTGCTCACTTAAAATACTTTCATTTGTAAAACTTTAACACCTACAAGTCCACTTAAATCTTCTTCTTCTTGTTCAGCCAACTGTATAGAGAAACACATTTGTTTACATTTACGGTGACTCATCCTGCCCACTTCTTATTTACCATGTCACCTGAAAGTAAGAACAGTATACAACATGGCACTTTTGTAGCTGGTGTTGCAAGGTATTTATGTGCTAGATAAGTTAAACATTTGTATGCCCCTTCATGCTTTGGCCACCATTCCAGAGAACATGCTTCCATGCTAATGATGCTTGTTAAAAAATGTTTTTATTAAATTTGTGACTGAACTCCTTGAGGGGAGAAATGCTGTTTTACCTGCATTTTGCCATATATTTCGTGTACAGCAGTCTCGGAAGATGACCCAGCACACATTCATTTTAAGAATACTTTCACTACAAATCTGACAAGTCACAAAGGAGGTACCAATGTGCCGTTTCTAAAAACAGCTACCGCCCACACCCAAGATTTAAGAACCTGATGTGCCTTCCAAAATTTGAGAGGGACAAGATGTTGAACATTCTTTCAGAAGTCTTAAAAGAGCATTACTCCAATATGGAAAGCAAAGAACCCAGACCATCAGAAAAGAAAATCAACTTTCTGTTGGTGGCATCTAACTTAGAAGGTGAAAATGAACATGTGCTGGTCCGCACTGCTTTGGATCATTAACTGAGCAGAATCAGTCATCAGCATGGATGCATGTCCTCTGGAATGGTTGTCAAAGCATGAAGCAACACAAGAATCCTTAGTGCATCTGGCACAAACATCTTGCCATACCAGCTCCAACAGTGCCATGAGAAAACCTGTTCTCCCTTTCAAGTGACTTTTGTAAACAAAAAGCGGGCAACATTCTCTCCTGCAAACATAACCAAACTTGTTTGTCTGAGCAACTGACTAAACAAGAACAAGAACTGAGGGGATTGTAGGCTCTAACATTTTGTTTTTGAGTAAAGTTATTTTTGTACATAATTCTATATTTGTAAGTTCAACTCATGATAAAAAGATTGCACTACAGTACTTGTAAGGGGGAATTTCTTGGTTTTTACCATGCAAATATTTGTAATAAGTAAAGTAAGCATTGAATATTTTGTATTCTCTGGTAATTTAAAATCAATATTTGAAAATGTAGACAACATCCCAAAATATTTAAATAAATGGCATTTTATTAATTGCAAATTTAATTTTTAAATCGTGCAATTAATCACACGATTAATTTTTTTAATCACTTGACAGCCCTAATATCATAAGAACATAAGAACAGCTGTACTGGGTCAGACCAAAGATCCATCTAGCCCAGTAGCCTGTCTGCCGACAGTGGCCAGCACCAGGTGCCCCAGAGAGGGTGGACCAAAGACAATGATCAGCGAATTGTCTCCTGCCATCCTTCTCCAGCCTCTGACAAACAGAGGCAGGGACACCACTTCTATCTCCTGGCTAATAGCCTTTTATGGACCTAACCTCCATGAAATTCTCTAGCTTCCCTTTAAACTCTGTTGTAGTCCTAGCCTTCACAGCCTCCTCTGGCAAGGAGTTCCACAGGTTGACTACACGCTGTGTGAAAAACTTTCTTTTATTAGTTCTAAACCTGCTACCCATTAATTTAATTTGGTGTCCTCTAGTTTTTCTATTATGGGAACTAATAAATAACTTTTCTTTATCTGCCCTCTCCATACCACTCACGATTTTATATACCTCTATCATATCCCCCCTCAGTCTCCTCTTTTCTAAACTGAAAAATCCCAGTCGCTTTAACCTCTCTTCATATGGGACCCGTTCCAAATCCCTAATCATTTTAATTGCCCTTTTCTGAACCCTTTCCAAGGCCAAAATATCTTTTTTGAGGTGAGACCACATCTGTACACAGTATTCAAGATGTGGGTGTACCATAGTTTTATACAGGGGCAGTAAGATATTCTGGGTCTTATTTTCTATCCCTTTCTTAATAGTTCCTAGCATCCTATTTGCCACCGCTGACCACCGCTGCACACTGTGTGGAAGTTTTCAGAGAACTTAGCCAAATTAGCCTCCATCATACTGTACGTATAGTTGGGGTTATTTTTCCCGATGTGCATTACTTTGCATTTATCCACATTAAATTTCATTTGCCATTTTGTTGCCCAGTCACTCAGTTTGGTGAGATCTTCTTGGAGTCCCTCACAGTCTGCTTCTGTCTTGACTATCCTAAACAGTTTGGTATCATCTGCAAACTTTACTACCTCACTGCTTACCCCTTTCTCCAGATCATTTATGAATAAGTTGAAAAGGATTGGTCCCAGGACTGACCCTTGGGGTACACCACTAGTTACCCCTCTCCAATCTGAAAATTTAGCATTTATTCCTACCCTTTGTTTCCTGTCTTTTAACCAGTTCTCAATACAAAAAAGGACCTTCTCTCTTATCCCATGGCCATGTAATTTACACAAGAGCCTTTGGTGAGGGACCTTGTCAAAGGCTTTCTGAAAATCTAAGTATACTATATCTACTGGATCCCCCTTGTCTGAATGTTTGTTAACCCCTTCAAAGAACTCTAATACATTAGTAAGACATGATTTCCCTTAACAGAAACCATGCTGACTTTTGTCCAACAAATTATGTTCTCCTACATGCCTCACCATTTTATTATCAAGATAATTCAAGATGAAAAGCCTGAAGTAGAGCAGTACATCAATTAGAGATCTGATCTGGAAGATTCTATTTTCAAACTGAAATTAAACAAGCAAACACAATACACAAACCAAACTTGTATATTTTAAAAATATCACAAGATGCTTAAAATATAGCTTGTATGCTGCAGTATTACACATTTTACACAATGTGCTGGCTCAATCCAGTCAAGATGGATGCTGTACAGCCATTCCTATTACTAAGAAGAAAGCGTAAAAGTCTCAGAGGGGTAGCCATGTTAGTTTGTAACTTCAAAAACGCATAGTCCTGTGGCACCTTAGAGACTAACAAAAATATATAGTATCGTGAGCATTTGTGGATAAGATGGATTTCATCACGACTTGGAGTAGAAATAAGAAAATCCAAATATACAACAGCAAAAGTACCACCTGTCAATTGTAGGACTTGTGTTAAAGAAGCTAATTAAGTGAGCTGGATGTATCCCATTCATAGCTTTTGATGTGAAAAAGCCGATGTCAAAGGCAGGAAAAATTGGCTTTGTAATGCTTTAGCCAGTTAATGTCTTTATTCAAGCCCAGGGTAACAGTATCAAATTTGTAGCTCAGCTAACTGGATTTCATCTACAAAGGCCTAAATGGTTTCTCATATAATATACTTGTTTGAAATCTAAACTCTATTTTACCCACTTTTTTTAATTGGCTGTAGCAGAAATCAGGCATTACTACACTAGAAACTGAATAATTTCATAAGAGTACAATATAGGCTTCATTATTCTAATGCCTACCTGGAAAAGTCTGTTATGGTTTTGACAGGTTAGTAGTTTGCTCCAAATATTTATGTAAGAGCACAGATGTCTACCTGCCTGCTTGTAAATACACTGTGCAGATAGTTGGAGAGGGAAGAAAACATTAAAAGTTGAGGAAATGATATTGATTGGAATTCTCGGTGCTTAACTACGATAGCTAGCAAGAAAAACACTCAATGTTTGAACAGCATAGCATTTTAATTTGGATCATGTCAGAACTAACCCATGAAGATCATTTGGAAACAAAGGAGGGTCAGGGAGAAAGACATTTTAGAAAATGGTGTTTGTTCTAGTGGGAGAGCTGATACCCAGAGAGGGTATATTTTTAGAATCATGAAGTAACAAGCCCACAGACAAAGAAAGTAATTGTGAAAAAGAAATAGGTTAGACACAGATGCCATTCAAAGGGGGTTAAAATTGGGCAAAACATACAAATAGCTGGTAAGCTATGGTGCAAGTGATTACCCAAAATTTACACACATTTTAACTATATTTTAGTGAAAACATTTTCTTTGATATAAGCTGAAGTTGATTATAGACACATTTCAGATCTTTGCAATGTGTAAGTTTCAATGTATGTGACCAAGTGTACTTATCTACATAGATTTCTTGCTGTACATGGCTTCCTGCAGCATAGTTCCCAAAAGTTTACACAAACAAGTCTCAATTCTGAACTCAAATTTTTTAAGATGAAGAACTGGCTCGAAGTACCAGATTTTTCAAAGATCATACTGGTTTCAAATCACAATCAAACTCAGTGAAGTTCCTCTAACACAATGTTTCTCAACTAGTGGTATGAGAACCCTTAGGGGTACTCGAAAGAAGTCTGGGGTACGTCAACACTTTTGGGAGAAAATTGGGAGAAAACTGAATTTTTGTTTTAAGTTTTACAGTGCTTTATTATTTTTGTTCTTTTTACACCCAAACATTTCATCACCTGCCCAGCTATAATTAAGTTGTTTAAACAAATGTGTTGCAATGGTAGAAAAAAATTGTGTGTGTCTAAAAACTGTAGGTACTGGAGGTACTTATTTTTTTTAAAGGGGTACTCTACCTTGTCAGTAAAGACTTCATTCCATATATACATTGTACACAGCTTCATTTCCTAATGAACAGGCTATTGTTCATGAGAAAGCTCCTGCTCAAGGGCTTAATATTTAATACAACTATATGAATGTGATATGAAATAATAGAAAATGCCTTACTTCTGCTAGCCTTTGGAAATTTTCTTCTTATTTTGTTTTTTAAAGGCAGCAGCTTTGTTATGATTTCAGGAACAGCTATGTAAAAATCTGCACTGATTTCATCATCCAAAATCTGAAAATAAAACCAGAATAATTGTGTGTGAAAGTCTAAAATATACAAAGATGGAAATATATTTAAAAATGCAAGCAATATTTATTTTTGAGATAAATGGTCAGAATTTTTTTTAAATACCCTCCAGAAAGGAAAAGCCTTCTGTCTCATATCTCTCGGCCATTGGACTTTAAATATTTGCCTATATGGTCAATGCAGCAGCATCACAATAGTGCCATAGAATGCTGGGTTCTGTACCAGGAAGACAAACTCCCCACTTGAAAGAGTTTTAGAATCAGTTTGCAGTTTATGTAAGACTAAGCTCTAAATACACTGGTTTGCAAGCTTTGCACAGCTGTGGAAGATTAGTCCACAAGTACTTTTTAAAAATTGTTAAAAATAAAATAGATTTTTCATTGCTAGAACATACTAAAGCATCCACTCCTCCCCCCACCCCCGTCAGCACTTGTTTTCAGCCTGAGGTCCACAGTTCCCAGGGGGAGTACTGCAAACTGTGGCTAAGATTTCCAAAGGGGTCAGCACCTACATTTTAAATTTTTTGGGGATCTGCAAAAGAAAAGTTGAAAACCACTGCTTTAAAACCAAGTTAAGACTAAGATAAGGCAGGGCATACCTGTTTTTAAGTCTTATATCGCATAACTTATTCCCACTGATTAATTTTCTTCTTACAACCTCTTTTTTGTCCTTTTCCGAGCATGTGTTGTATCTACTTATATATCAGCAAACTAGCATCAATGTAATACCACTGTTTGTGTAGACCATTGAAGCTTATAAGTGTAAAGTTTTACAGCATGGGTGGGGGAACCTCAGGCCTGGGGGCTGCATGCAGCTCTTGGCTTGCCTGGATCCAGCTCCTGAGGCTCAGGGCTACCCCCAGCATTCAGAAGCCACTGTTGGTGCCCCCTGCTACCACCCTGGGGGCTAGAATGAACAAAATCTTCTAGACTGGGCCCCCCCAGGCTCTGGTGTGCAATGGAAATGTGGGGAGTATCTTCTCCCTCTCAGTCATGGGCCACAGTGAGGGTTTTTTCCCACTAATTACCTGTGTGCAGCCCCCGACTGATTTTTCTGTGGCTCAGTGGCCCCCGACAATTACCTGTGTGCGGCCCCCGACTGATTTTTCTGTGGCTCAGTGGCCCCCGACCCAAAAAAGGTCCCCCCACCCCTGCTTTACAGTCTTGGCAGAGTTTTTGTAAAATGAAAAATATAATTTACACTGCTATAAAAATACCTGTTGGATTAATTCAATCCCTCCTGCAAAAGCAGCTCCATTTTCTTCTGCTATTTTAATTTCTTCTGCATTCTGTTTTAAAAAAATAGTCCATATGTAACATACGTACTATCAACTATTGTGTTATTACTTCAACACCGTCAACAGCAGAACTATTTAATCCATGCAGGTATATGCACTGAATGAAAAACCAATTCATATGTAAGCTAAAATATGACAATCAGGTGGGAACAACTGTTTAAAAACTAGTGATATTTGGAGAAAAGTGCCTTTGGGGATCTTTAATGGAATATTTCTCTCTATAAATACACATTTTAATCAAGTCCCAGTAAAGAGTGGCACCAAAATCTTTGCTGTGATCTCACCAAATCTAGAGAACAAGGCTACAGTGAATAAGTCCCAGTAAAGAGTGGCACCGAAATCTTTGCTGATATATCACCAAATCTAGAGAACAAGGCTACAGTGAATCAGGAAATGTTAACAATGGATTCTGGGTGGTTTTCACTCTGTTTCTAGCTTTATTTCTCCATGATCAGGATGAAGCAACCAGCCATCTGTTAGATGGAGTCTTATCTTTTAAAGAAAAACTGAAGAAAGCTTTAGTGCATTAGTGAAAATTATTAATAACTTCCTTGAGGTGTGCAAGCTACCATTAACAAATACTCAAGAGATGATTGGAAATTACTCAGTCTCTACACATGATCCCAATTAGTTTACTTTCAAACCTCGATACTGAACAGAAACCATCAATATCATCTGATGATTCTAGATCAGTCATCAGCTTTCAATACCACTTATGAGATATGATGGCTTACTTCTAAGAGCTATTATAAATTCATGTTTAGTTTGAGAAAAAAAGACAATATAGTTTTATACTTTCTTCTTAGATGGGGTCCTGGAGGGTAGATTCTGGGGAAACTACTTGTCCTCCCTAAGGCGTCACAAGAGTTGCATCTGGTCACACACTGATCCACTATGCATACAGCACATGGAGAGAGAGAGAGAGAAGTTCTCAGTATCAACCTGCTGGGGATACTCAGTTTTGCATCTTCCATCTAACACTGATTCTACAAAAGCATTTCTTTCCAAGCACAGGTTGAACCTACTAAATCCAGAACTCTCTGGTCTGACATCTGTGGTCCATCAGGACCATGGAAATTGCTGGACCAAAAAGCCCCATTCCCAGGGCACGGCAGATACAGAGCAGAAGGCAAGCCCTGTCCCTGGGATTCCCGGCCAAGCCAGGGAGAAGTGGGAAGCCCCAGCCGGCAGGAGGCAGCAAGCTGGATCCCAAGTCTAAGCCCTGCAGGCTGGAGCCCAGTGGCAGTGGGGCCAAAGTGGAGCATCCTGGGAAGCTAGAGGCAAGGGGACCTCCCCTGATCCGGCTAATTCCCTCTTTTGGAATGGGTCAAGTCCTGAGGGTGCCAGACCTGGGAGGTCCAACCTGTATCTGACTTAGGCAGAGAACCAATGAAAGCCAACTGACTGAAAAGGAGAGGACTTTGCTAGAAGAGAATCAGAAAATAAAAACATGAATTTCCAGAGCCTCCCACTAAAGATCCACATTACACCTTTTAGTAAAATGGCTCACATATTAAAGATTCTATTGGAATCATCACTGCCCCTGAATTCTCAGTTGACCATGCTGGCCTCTGGTGCTTTTCAGTACCTACAGATGACCAGGAGGCTGCAAGTATTCTTTCCTAAGGTGGGTAATACAACCATGATTCATGTCTGTCACTTGATATTAGACTATTGCATTTTGCTTCAGGCTACCCTGGCAATCTACACTAGGTGGAGCTGGTGGGTAGAATGCAGCTTCTTGTCTGAGTGAATATAGAACACACTGAATATGGAACATTTGGATTCAAGTTTTTGCAGTGATTTCCTGCTATCTTGTGGGTGCATTTAATGCTGTTGATCATTATCCTTGCACCCTTAAATTGTCTGTGAGATGGTTGCTTTTCACTTTCTATCCTATTGAAACTATTTTAGTCAGCTGGAACCCTCTAGAGCTGAACTCTCCAGAAGTGGTAGCAGGACTCTCACAATTGATGAAATTTGCTCCCTTCGGTGATTGTCTACAGATATACTAAACTCCAGGGCACGATGCAAAATATATATCTGGTTTAAATTTTTGTCCACTTCTGTTACAGTTCATCTTATTCCTGAAAAAATTGCAGCCACTGGACTGCAGTGAAAGTTGTGCTATTCTAGGGACAAGTGAAAATTTGTGGCACACAGAGCTGTTAATGCAGGACCTTTCATGAGCATTTAAATACTTTAAATGAAACGTATCAGCAAAAATTCTACAAGAGTCTTATGTCAAAATATTAGTTGTCTATTCTGTACATAAGCCAGGCATTTGGTAGTCTTGAGGGAAAGTAGAAAAGCCTTAAAACAGGCAACTAAGAGACTGAGGATTTGGTATTAAGAAAGACTGACTACAAAGGACCAAACTTCATAGCATATAAATTAATGTTTAAAGAAACTAAGATGCAAAATATTTGTGGACAAATAGAATAAGAAAGTCTGCAATAGATTCTAAAACATATCCTGCAGCTTGCATTAGGTTACAGGAATTCCATTTTGAGTTGCTTCCACCTTGGTACCCAATACCTATTTGGAAAAATGTTAGTGAAGATTAGACCAATTCTGGAGGCGCTGAGAGGTAAGTGGTATTGTGAGCACATTTAGGGTGTATCCATTGATGACAGTATACAGAACAAGATTAGGGAAAAGGAACTCTATATACAACCAGAGGGGATTGCTAATGGTTCCAGAGATCATTTCTACCATGCATCCGTCTAAAAGAGGTTTATAGTTTACACAGTGTTTCTCAACCTTTTTTTTAAACAAAGTACCCCTTTAAAAAAAAAAAAGTAACCCCAGTATCTAGAGTTTTCAGACACACAAACATTTTTCCTACCATTGCAACACATTTGTTTAAACAACTTAATCGTAGCCGGGTGGGCGATGAAATTTTTGGGTGTAAAAATTACAAAAATAATAAAGCACTGTAAAACTTTTTAAAAAATGCAGTTTTCTTCAAATTGCAGTTGTGTGGACGTACCCCTCAGACTTCGAGTCTAAGGATACTCGTACTACTGGTTGAGAAACACTGGTTTACAACATACACATCTCCTACTTAGTGTTCTTTGCTGAGATAGCAGCTGCCACTTAATAGAAAGTTTTCTTAAAAACTTACAGTATTCAAATATTCTGCTAACTGGTAAGGATATTTAAACAAGACAGTAGAAACCAAAAAAGTAGAAACACATATATTCAATTTTTAAGAAATTACAGTGTAAGTTAGTCTTCGAGCCCAACAAACTTTGTAAAACACTTTGGGATCCTTCAGAATTAAAGCTCCTACACAAAAATAAAAATGAACCATTCACTAAACATTATATACGTAATGTATCTGAAACATATGCCTTTTAAATAAACTTTTACTCACCTCTGTGAATACCATAACTTTATTGATTTCATTTACAAAAGGATATGGCAGAAGAATGGTGCTGACAAACTGATCCACTTTTTTCTAATAGAGATAAAAAAAATGAGTGTTTGGTACAAATTTAACTCTTATTGTAGTACATCTAAAGTTCAACTAGTATTTGATTTATGAGCCTTTTTGTATACGTTTTCCATTTGTGTAGAACTGATCCACCATGTACCAACACTTGTGTTGTAAATTGACTACTGAACTGCTGTAATTACAAATACAGAGGAACAGCTCTATCCAGAGGTTATTTTTGGTACATTAAGAAAGCTCCTGACTTGACAATTGGATAGCCTAAAATATCATTCTTGTGAGAACAGAATGAATTGACACTTTACACGCTTATGTATTTTTGTTCCTCTAGTTCAATGTATTACTCTCCCGAAACAAAGAAGGAGCCTAATGACATTCCAGTACAAGTTGCTTTTCCTGTCATGCTGCCAGGAGAGAAATGACAACACTAAAGGCTGATAAGGCCATTGCAGAAAAACTAAAAGAGTTCCTTATATCTGTCTTCATGGGTGAGGATGCAAAGGAGAGTTCCAATCCTGAGCCATTCTTTTTAGGTGATAAACCTGAGGAACTGTCACAGATAGAAAGGTCAGTAGAGGAGGTTTTGGAACAAATTGATAAACAGTAACAAGTCACCAGGACCAGATGGCATTCACCCAAGAGTTCTGAGAGAACTCAAATGGGAAATTGTAAAACTATTAACTGTGGTTTGTAACCTATCCTTTAAATCAGCTTCTATACCAAACAACTGGAGGACAGCCAAATTTAAAGGGCTCCTGAAGAGTTCCCAGCAATTACAGGCCAGTGAGCCTAACTTCAGTACCAGGCAAACTCATTCAAAGTAGAAAGTAAAGAACAAAACTGTCAGACACATAGATGAACATAATTTGTTGGGGAAGAATCAACATGGTTTTTGTAAAGGAAGTTGTGCCTCGGCAAACTACTAGAACTCTTTGAGGCGATCAACAAGCACGAGGACAAGTGGGATCCAGTGGATATACCATACAGAGACTTTCAGAAAACTGTTGACCAGGTCCCTTGCCAACGGCTCTTAAAGCAAGCAATCATGGGATAAAAGGAAAGGCCCTCTCATATATTGGTAGTTGACTAAAATAAGAAACAAAGGTAAGAATAAATGATCAGTTTCCAGAATGTAGAGAGGTAAATGGTGGCCTGTCCCCCCAAAGTCTATATTAGGACCAGTACTATTCTACATACTCATAAATGATCTTGAAAAAGGTCATTCATCTGAAGAGTGGCCTGTCCCCCTAAAGTCTATATTAGGACCAATACTATTCTACATACTCATAAAGGATCTTGAAAAAGGTCATTCATCTGAAGTGGGTTGTGCCCACAAAAGCTCATGATCTCATCTCCATGTTTTGTTAGTCTTTAAGGTGCTGATAAACTATTTGTTGTTTAAAGTTTTTCCACTTACAGACTAACATGGCTACCCCTCTGAAGCTCTTGATCTCATGGGAAGCCATGAAATTTTGCAGATGACACAAAACTACTCAAGATGAGCGAACTGCAAAGAGCTACAAAAAGATTTCTCAAAACTAGGTGACTGGGCAACAAATGGCAAATGAAATTCAATGTTGACAACTGCAAAGTAATGCACATTAAAAAACAATATCAACTATACATATAAAGTGGTGGGGTCTAAATTAGTTATCACTCAAGAAAGAGATTTTGGAGTTACTGTGGCTAGTTCTCCAAAAACATCCACTCAACATGTAGCAGCAGTCCAAAAAAAGGAACAGAATGTAGGGCATCATTAAGAAAGGAATAATAAGACAGAGAATAACATGTTGCCTCTATATAAATCCAAGGTATGCCTGCCCACATCTTTAATACTGAATGCAGATGAGTTGTCCAATCTCAAAAAAGATATACTGGAATTGGAAAAGGTTCAGAAAACAACAAAATTGATTAGGAGTACAAGACAGCTTCGGTATGAGGAGAAATTAATAAGACTGGGACTATTTATCTTGTAAAAGAGATGATTAAGGGGGATATGATTGAGATCTATAAAATCATGACTCATGTAGAGAAAATAGATATGAGAAGAAGTAAATAGCGCTTTCTTAGCACAAGAACTAAGAATCACCAAATGAAATTAATAGGCAGCAGATTTAAAAACCAACAGAAGAAAGTATTTCTTCTCACAACAGAGCCAGCCTATGGAACTCCTTGCCAGGGCATGTTGTGAAGGTCAAGAAAGTTTAAAAAAAAAAAGTAGAGAAATTCATGAAGGATAGGACCATCCACGGCTATTAGCCAGAAGAGGCAGGATTATGTCCCTAATCTGTTTTACCAGAGACTGGGAATAAGCGAAAGGGAATGAATCACTTAATGATTACCTGTTCTGTTCATTCTCTCTGGGGCACCTGGGCATTGGTCACTGCTGGAAGACAGGATAATGGGCTAGATCAGGGCTACTCAACACACAGCCTGCAGGCCACATGCAACCCAAGGCCTATTTGTTAGCGGCTTATAGTGTGGTTTGGATTTACACGCAGCCCACGGGTGGGATCTTTTGAACATGGCCTTCACAACGGCGAGAGGTCTCCCAAGGGGGGTGAGCACTGAAAGACACAAGTGGACAGACTGGCTGGAACAGATGGCTAGGGGGTGTTGGTGTTTCTAGCCCCCAGGGAGGAAGTACCAGGACTGCCAGGGCATTATGTGAAAGAAGCTATTTGCATGTATATGCAACCACACTGTAGTTAATCATGTGCTGAGGGCTGCGAGGATCATTGTTGCCCCTGGGGCTTCCAAAGTTGAGTAGCCCTGGGCTAGATGGGTACATCAGTGGGTACATCAACTCACCTACATATTTGCTTAGTTTTATAACAGACTACATAAAAAGTACTAGTGAATTCACTACAACCTAAATTTTCAAACAATGACTTGTTTATACTACTCCACGTACTAAATGCTGAAAAGTACAGTATTTATATTCCAAATGATTTGGAATGATTTTATAATTATATGGTAAAAATAAGAAAGCCAGAAATTTTTCAATAATATCATGCTACAACATATTTATATTTTTAGGTCTGATTTGTAAGCAAGTAGGTTTTAAGTGAGGTGAAACAGAGGGATACACAAGACAAATCAGATTCCTAAAAAGGGGTACAGTAATCTGGAATGGTTGAGAGCCACTGCTGTAGTGCACCCAGGAGAAGTAAAGGATTAAACCTGGATTGTTGTTCAATACAGCACATCAGCAGCAGCCTTAGTGGAGGGTTTGAGGGAGAGAACATACCGGATTTTTCCATGACCAGATGCCAACTTCAGAAGATTTGCATAGCTTAAAAGTGACTACATGAACACAGATAACTTATTTTGATAATGACTGTGGTCAAAGTCCAGCGTAACAGTTTGTAAAACATTAGAACAACAGAAACTACTGATAACCAGAGGGAAAAATATCTTTAGGAGGTTAGGTCCATAAAAGGCTATTAGCCAGGGGATAGAAATGGTGTCCCTGGCCTCTGTTTGTCAGAGGCTGGAGAAGGATGGTAGGAGACAAATCGCTTGATCATTGTCTTCGGTCCACCCTCTCTGGGGCACCTGGTGCTGGCCACTGTCGGCAGACAGGCTACTGGGCTAGATGGACCTTTGGTCTGACCCAGTACGGTCGTTCTTATGTTCTTATGCTGAATTTGAAGGATGCCATGTACAGTTCTACCAAAGCACTGTGTCACTTGGGAAAGAATACTGAATACCAAGCATAAATATGTTGCCAAATGAGAGAGAGGTTTGAGGATGAACCTGAGCAAGATGACATATTGCATTCCTTATTCCTACAGTTAAAAAAGGTAATTTCTTAAAATATCACAATCTCAAATCTGTAGGTCCTGGCAACATACCTTCTTCTCTAGTGCCATATCCAGCATCAGATTAGCATATACGTGTTGTTTTGGATAAGTGAAGTCCAATTGCTGAAACTTCTTCAGCATGTCCACAGCCACCTCTGCTTCATAGACTGGCCTTTTGTACAACCATGTTAAATATACATCATCCACTGGCTTGCTTGCTAACTTTCGTCTGTAAGTGTTCTTTTTCTTTTCTTGCTCTGCTTCAGAAGTTTTCTGCTTGGCATCCTTTGAACTTTTTTTTGCAGTCCTTTTGGAAACCAAAATGATTAATATAAGATCTTTAACATTAATCGCTAGTACATATTTGAATATAAAACAGTTTGGTTGAAATTGCATCTCAGTAATAAAACAAGTTCTTGTATAGCCAAGTCAGCTCATGAAATGTCAATCAAAACTGCACAGGACGTCCCACTTGCCCTGCCACCTACCCACTGTAAATGCAGGAGGAAGAGTAAACATAAATCAGAACCAAAAAGACTATTAATGAGGACTTGTTTTCAGTACTGGGGAAATCAAAGCTGTTGCAACTGATGTAGCAGATGTCAATTTAAGGGGTCTAGTGAAGACTAGGGATGCAAAATCTGGTTCAATCAGTTAACTGGTTTCATGGCAGGTTAACCTAATCAAGTCATCAAGTTCAGTTCCCTACCCTCACGGCAGGACCCAGTACCATCTAGACTCTAGACCATCCCAGAGAGATGTCTATACAACCTGCTCTTAAATATCTCCAGAGATGGAGATTCCACAACCTCCCTAGGCAACTTATTCCAGTATTCAACCACCCTGTCAGTTAGGAACTTTTTCCTAATGTCCAAACTAAACCTCCCTTGCTGCAGTTTAAGCCCATTGCTTCTTGTTCTATCTTCAGAGTCAAAGGAGAACAAATTTCTCCCTCCTTGTGACACTCTTTTAGATAACTCAATACTACTATCATGTTCCCTCTCAGTCTTTTTCTATCCTAACTAAACAAGCCCAATTCTTTCAGTCTTCCTTCAGAGGTCTCTATGCCAATATCTAAATCGTTGATGAAAATATGTTTAACTGATTAACCAACTAAGCTGGATCCTGCATGGGGCTGCCGCCTCCCAGGGCCTGTAGATTTTTGGGGCCCCCTAAGCTCTGCGGTAGGTCCAAAAATGAGGGCTGCATCCAGCCCACGGGCTGTGCCTGACAGTGGGAGGAAGCAGCTGTGCCAGAATATTAATGCAGGGAAGCTCTGTCCCTGGCTTGCAGGTTATACCCCCATTACTCCCTTTGGCCAGAATTCCTGGCCAATGGGAGTGATGAAGGAGAAGCCTGCGAGCCAGCACAGGATGGCACAGAACTACCTGAGCGCCTCCCCATCAGAAGCTACACCAGATAGGCACCCCCCAAGTGCCTTCATGACATTGTCCATTTTTCAAGGTTTTTGAGAATGGAAGAGCAGAGAGCAAATAAAGGAAGAAATAGATATAGAAGGATGAGTGTTAGAAGTATGTGAACATAAGAACGTAAGAATGGCCATACTGGATCAGACCAAAGGTCCATCTAGCCCAGTATCCTGTCTGCCGACAGAGGCCAGTGCCAGATGCCCCAGAAGGGGTGCACAGTGGGACTAAGAGGCAGCGGGGCTGCCCCGCAGGGCTAGAAGTCCAACCACAGGACTGCCTGGTGGTGGGACCAGGAACACGGGAGGGGGCTGCCAGGTGATGCGGCAAAGAGCCCAGCAGCTCTGCTGCTGCCTGGCAGAGCTCCCTGCAGAGGCTGGGAGGCAGTGGTGCTACCCAGTGAGGATGAAGCCCAAGCGGGGTTGCCATCCAGCGGTGCAGCTGAACCCCAGAAGGGGGGCTGCCCTGCAGGGCAGGGAGCCTGTGATTGCGATGGCACGGCTGCCATAGTGAGGCTGTATGGGAAGCCAACAGGGAGACTGACATTGAGGCCATGGCTGGGGGGACTGGTGGCAGGGGAGGAGGTCATAAATAACCTTCCCTGGTCCAGCAAAATCCCTCATCCAGAACCCGTCAGGTCCTAAGGTGCTGGACCAGGGAGGTCTAACCTGTAATATTGTAGAAAAAGAATTTGCTAATTTGTACTAGTGATAGGTCCAATTGAACCTTTTATATCAATATTCAACATATTATTAATGCTTCCAAATTTTAAAAGCCATTTTTATTATCCACAACTACAGAAACCACCTGCAAGAATAGAATAAACACTCACTTTGCAGCAGCATAGTGTCTAATGGATAGTGCTGTGTTTCCAAGGCAGGGAAATACTGAAGTACGTTTATCAATCCTGGGGAAAATATAGTTGGGAAACTGAGCCAGAACTGTTTGAAAACACACAAAAAATACATGTATTAAAGTCTGTAACAGTCATGTTCCTAAATTAGTGATAGAAATGTAGCCGTGTTAGTCTGGTGTAGCTGAAACAAAATACAGGACTGTGCAGCACTTTAAAGACTAACAAGATGGTTTATTGGGTGATGAGCTTTCATGGTGACAATTTTCTTCCACTATTTGATCTGAGGAAGTGGGTCTGGCCCATGAAAGCTCATCACCTAATAAACCATCTTGTTAGTCTTTAAAGTGCTGCACAGTCCTGTCTATTGTTCCTAAACGAGCCTGTGTTAGGGTAGTGATTAAGGGTGTCTTTAAAGCTGCATTTTGGCTTCACGCGTTAAGCTATTTTTACAGCTCTCCCCTATAGCTTTAGCATAAAAGCCAGCAGCAAGGCCAGCAGCGCACTGCAGAGAGGTGCGGGGTCGCATGTCAAGCCATTTTCACGGTCTCGCCCCCGGAGGGAGCAGAAATGGGGTCTCCATGACACATGCAAAGGAGGCCAAATGGCTCTTGCGAGGACCCGCGCGCGCCCCCATTCATCGGGCCGGTTTCCAGGGGGGGGGAGGGGAGTGTCGCCGTGTCCATAGTGACCCAAGGGGCCGGGCTCATCAGTTAACGGTCACGCTCACGCGCCGGCTCCCCTCCCCCTGCTGCGGTAGGGGAGGGGGTGCGCGTGCCCGCCT